AGTAATATGGCAAAAAGTTCAAATTAAGAATTGGGGTTCACAGACAAGAGCAAATTTGGATAAGTGAACGTAACGTTCTGATTTCCAGACAAGACCGGGACTGAGTCAGATGAAACCGAGAACTGGCTTATTTTATTGGCTAGGAAGAAATCCCAGCATTCATCTACATTTCTGCCTATAAAATGGGGGAGGTGGGGGAAGTGTTTTGCAGTTAATCCTCATTGGGATTGGAACCAACAATGAATATTTTGGAGACAAAGCAACAATAAACTGGCTGGTTCCTTGTACCACTCTAGTAAGTACCTGACTCCTCTTACCTTTTTATAAGAGTTAGATCATGCAAAAAATGAAGTACTGCTGTCATATTTGCAGAGGTACTGCTTGGTCCTCACTTTCCATTCTGGATTGTCTAAAAGTGTCTGTGTGTCCTTGAGGATGAAAGTTATTTTCTACCCTGCAATCACCCTATCACAGACAAGTTGTGGCAAGCTGCTTACTGCTCTATCCCTACTTCTATGAAAATATATAACCTTCACTTCTAGGACCTGCCATACCATTCACATGGTAGCAAACACCCGCCCCTTATTTAATTGGTAAAAAGTTCCATTTGAGCAGTTTCTTCCCGCATACCACTGCTCTGTGGAACTGACTCCAAGAGAACATTTCCCCAATCACTACAGTCTTAATCTTTTCAAGTCTAGGATTAACTGCTGTCATTTTCCCCAAGTATCTGCATAAACTGTGCCTCTTACTCTGTAATCCACTACCTTGAGTGGGCCCTGGGTCTTGTACAGGGTGAACCTCGCTGTTAAAAAAAAACAAAAAAAAAAAAAGATTGTCTGAAACTAAGGTACACATGACTGATGTTTTATACATAAAATAATCGTATGTTCTTTGACTAGTTTAAAATAACAAAAAAAAACCCAAAAACCTTGCTATTCACTTTTTGTAGTTGCTCTTTGGTGCATTGATGAGACGCTTTATAAACAACTAAATTATTATAGCATAACAAATGAATCCTATTTTCAACAAAATCAATTATTTTGATTGTAAACTTTGAATTTTTAATTTGGTATGGATTATATGGTTAATTTGCAATCTCATAGCCACAGTCAGTTCACATTAAACATTTCCAGAATACTTACATTATATGTAATTGTACATGCTTTATTTGTTTGAATCTGGTTTGATAAATTTGATAAGTCAACTGTTTTGGAGTTTTTGACAGTGAAAGTTTGGATTCATTTGCATTGTGGGCAGCCATTACTGGCATTGTTTGCTGCAAAATATGTAAATGCTCAAACTGAGTGTGCCTATGTAAATAGTTCTCATGCACAGTAATTGAGACAAATTTAGACAAAGATCAGTTCCTTCTTAGCTTTCTGTAGTCTTCCACGTTTAGCTTTCCACAGTGAGTGTATTCAAACGGTAATAGCTGCTGCCAACAACACAAATGTATCCAAACTTTCACTGTCGATAACTCCAAAATGGTGGATTTTTTATCAAGCCAGATTTGAATGCAACATGTACAATTACACATAAATGTAAGTACTAAGCAATCATTTTGCAGGCATTAATTCTTTTAATAATTCTTTTCAAATTGGTTGTTATCTTGCTAAATTGTAAGTGGAATTAATCCCCCCCCCACCAATTTCACTCCAAGCAAGGTGGAAATGCCACTAGTATGTAGGGTAGTTACAAAGAGTGAAGATAAAAGATTGGGTATAGGCAGGATTGCGGAAAGGACAAAAGATGAATTGGGTTCAAGAAGACAGAAAATGGCGATTGATGTGGCATTGAAATTTTTGAAGATTTTAGTTATCAGAGAAGCAAGTAAACAGAAGGGTGTTGCACAGGCAGGAAGTATGAGAAAAACTGTTGGATTAGAAGTGACGGTTGGATTTAGCTATTTTGACAGTAAATGGAGCGGGGACCTAGATGCCTGTCTCGTAGCACATTTAAATTCATGTAGTCAGGGTGCCATGCAAAAAAAAAGCTCATCAAAGTAGTTGCCATGAAAATATCTGTAGAAAAGGCAGAGGGAAGGCATGAAAAGTCTGTGAGAAAGTGACTGAAGCCAAGATGCCAGGTCAGGATCTATTACATTACAGATCCTCCTTTTGGATTTGGTCAAGAACCTCAAGATTTATTAAACTTTGTGGAACAATGCCAGAGAGAAGAAAATAATGGTTGGAACTGCAATCAATCTGCAGCTAAACGTGATGCTATGTATCACATGAAATCAGGACAGTTTTTTATTAAAAGCTCCTTCTGCAAAATCAGATATTGAATCTTGGTAAGTACAGCTCCAAATAGACAGATAAAAAATGATGGCCAATTAGGTGTCATTGTACATCAGGATTCTGCCAGACCTCATGTTTCTTTGTATATAGAGCAGAAATTGCTACAGTTTGGTTGGAATATCTTACTATAACAGGGTGGCAATAAAGTTAAACACACAGTTGAAAATATTCTAAATATCATTGAAATTCCCTTAAAATGTATTATGAATTTTTCCTCTGACTAAATAAGAAAATCTGGATGTTGTTCTTTGCTGGAATATACCTCAGGTGCTGGTAGAAAACTTGTAACTATATTGGCAGATAGGAAATTATTAATCTCAAGTACTTTAGTTGTTTGAAATAAATATGTTGACCGTTTCCAAATTTTCTAATGTTTTGTTCAGTTATGTGTGTGTTTCTGGATTTCTTGTCTTTTTCTTTCAGTTATATTTGTCTTTGAAGAAAGAACGAGATTTTGGAACACAGTTCAAGAAACAAGTTCAGCGTCGTGAAGGCATTTTTACCCATGGAGGCACCACAACGGCATCAACTGCAGGCACCACCCACACTGTACGATTTGCTGAGCAAGTTGCTTTTTTCAAACTGGATCAATTCGTGAGTAATCTGTCCTTGTTAAAGAATTGGTAACAAATTTTGAAATCCAATTTTTTTTTTTTTTTTTTTTTTTTTTTTTTCCAGTTATTTTCAGTTATTTGTCAATAAATTAAAAACATGATTTTTATATAATGTCTATTGGATATTTTTAGTTGAAACCGTACTTTCCTCTTGCTTCCTTCATGGTTTGTAATCATCTGTCTCCTAGACAGGGGATCTATAGCCTTGGATGGTAATTCCTGATTTGGATTTTCAGCTTTTAAATATGAAATTTTATAAGTTTGTTATTCCTTCCAATCTGGCTTTTGTAAAAAATTTTTAATTAGTTGCTTTTAGAATAAATACAGAATTTTAAAAGGTTTTGCATCATCTGAAGAAATCCTAACTATTGATCTGAAGCTAATGTTCATACCAGAACAATATGAATATTTATTAGTACTTATTCACCTCTTGAAAAAGTGTTGATCTCACACTTATTAGCTGGCACCCCAACCATTTGATGTCCATTGCATATTGTTTCTGTTTTACAAACCCTGTGGGTGATTAAGGGAAATGATGGAAAGAAAATTGATTATTTTTTCCTGCCAATTTTTAATTTCTAATTTTAGATTACTTGGAAAACCTTCACAATATGTCTTTATTTCTGCATTGGTTTTGATTCAAAGTAGATGCTTAGCTCCATGGGGGGTTGTCCCCACCCATGAGGTTACACTTCATTCATTGCACTAAGAGTGGAAGAGTTTGGGTCAAAGTCTATGGTATTCCCATATGGAAGTGCTGAAACATGGACATGTGCCATATTCCAGTTATATGATGTGTGTAAATTTTTATTTTCACCTGGTAAATAGAAATGACAATCAAATATTTTCTCATTTATATAAAAAAAATCTTTCACTACAGTCTGAAGATGATGATCCCATCCTAGGTATGACAATAAACTTCATCTATGTCCAACAGCAAGGCCTCTGATCAGGTTGTTTTGAGGAGCATGGAACCACCTCTTAATTGCTGGTGTTCCCAGGTCCACCCTGACGAAGGGTGGTAGCACCTGTTAGGGTCCCAACTATGGGTAAATAGTTAACCCCCTCCACCCCACAAACTGGGGTCAAAACACTATGAAAGTGTAAAAATAGGTTTTAATACTAGAAATATTTTGTAAAATAAAAAATATTACCAGTTATACATTTTTTATATAAAAATATTACAGAAATAAAAATTGTTGGCATTAAATAACCCATTGAGGTGTTTAGGGTTCTCTTTTGGCTAACACATCAAGAAAATGTTAACAAAGTTGATTGACAAAAGCACTATATATATATATATATATATATATATATATATATATATATTAAGCAAGTTACCTCAAGCAAGGTGGGAGTGCCACTAATATGCAAAAGGTTACAGAATAAGAGTAAAGAGGAGTGTTTGGGAAAAGGATAAAGAGAAAGACAGGGATCAAGGTCAAGGCATCAGATGTTGATTGACATTACATTTGAATGTTTGAAGATTATAGGGAAGCAAGTGATAGGGAGTTCCACTGATGAGATGTGTGAGATAAGCTGTTGGAATAGAAGAGATGGTTACATTTGGTCGTTTTGACAATGAAAGAGTGGGACCGAGATGCCAACCTAGTAGCATGCTTAAATTCAGCAAAAGTAGCTCATTGGAGCTGTTGCCATGAAAGTACTTGTAGAAAAGACAGAAGAAAGCCACAGGACGTCTGTGAGAAAGTGACTGCAGACTAGAGGCAAGATTAGGACCAACCACATTGCATATTCATCTCTGAATTTTATCTAGGACCTCCAAGATGAGCAGTGGAACACCAGATCATATATGACAGCAGTATTCCATGCAAGGACAAATGGTTGATTTGTAGATTTGAAGGATGGACTTGGGTGAGAAAAACCTTCTGGTGCAACACAGAGAACCAACTTTCCTTGCGGTAGATGAGCTATATATTCAATGTAGCTGTTCCACTTCAGGTCAGTGGACAGCGTGAAACCAAGAAGGCGCTGAGAGACACTCTCGTGGAGTTGGGCATCAGCCATCAAGATGGAAGGCAGGCTGGGTTCTCTATGGTGGGTAACGGAGCAGTTTTGTTTTAGAGGCATTAAAGTTTACAATCCGTTTCATGCCCCAGTCAATGACAGATTGGAGGTTTTTTCGAGGCCTAAAAAAAATATATATATATATATATATATATATATGTGTGTATGTGTGTGTACTGGTTCCATGTAGCTTGGGAAATATGTGTGTATGTGTGTGTGTGTACTGACTACTTGTGGTGGGATAGTGTGTATGTGTGTGTATAGGTACAAATAAGTTTATTGAATTCCTCGTAGTAAGGAAATATCATACGCATATATACACGCATGCTGACAGGAACACATAAAATAGAAACAGATCCAAGAGCACATAGAGGTCACTAAAACATTAAAAGATTAAATGCCGATAACTCATCGCTGGACAAACCTTAATTGTTTTATGACCCTTCACGCAGAACTCTTCATTGACAATTCTAGAAAAGAAAATTCGGATTGCCAACACACAAACAGAATGTCTCATATCGAGAATATTCCACATTGAACATGAAGAAAAATTAATTATTTTTAATATGTAAAAATCTCCACTTTCACCTGAAGACGGTTGCGAGACCAGAAACACGTGTCGTGAAATTATGTAAAACAAAGTATATTTTTCTCAATAAATCCACATTACAACCAAAAACGTTTGCGGCACCTTCTTTTTTTATATATATATATATATATATATATATATATATATATATAGTGATCAGGAACTTTTTTGTATTGGGGGAGAGATTGTTTTTATCAAGTTTTCCTACTTTGATTAGCTCCAATGTTAATTACATTTCTATTTGTTTTCAGCTGAAATATTTGTTTGCATCTTTATATAGAATATAGCTTGATTCTTGAACTGGACTCGCGTGTAAATGAATCTTTGAAAAATCTTAGAATATGACAAGTCTTTTCTTTTACTTTTTACAATTGTCATGACTTTACCATTCATGCAGGACAACCAATACATTCTCTTTTCTTTTTTTTTCTTTGTTATATATGTGTGTGTGTGTGTGTGTGTGTTAAAGTTCCTTGATTTGGGCTCTCCTCACTCTTTTTCATCACAAACCAGTTAAGCAACCTGTTGCTATTACTAACACACACTTATTCATAGTTTTATCTCTTACTTCAACATTAATATATGGTGGGTGGCTACTGTCAAAATTCTTTCTTAATTTATGAGTAATGTTTGAAGGTAGATAGCATGTAATAATCCCTTCCTCCCCCAAGTAAAATTTAATTTTCAATATATCTAAAATCCTTTAATATAGGCATAGAGAACATAAAAGTGGTACCAAATTTATCTTGGTAACTCGATTAGCAACAAAGTCAGGGAGATTCAAAATTTGTCAATTTTTCTTCTACTGTTCCATTTGAGCCAGAAGCCAATTTCAGTTGTGTAAAATTGAAGATGCTGGCTTCAGACTACTTAAAAATCATAATAAATGTAATGTCATAAGTAGTCTTGAAGTAAAAGAAATATATATAATACTAACAGAATCAATAATTATTAGATAAGATCATCATAAACATTGGGGTTAATGACATTTTCAAAAATGAAATAGTTAATACATGACACAGAAGGGCACTTTTGATTTGCTCAGTTTTATTTCAGCAGTTAATGCCTTGCAATTATTCATAGCACAATAGATGAAACTAAAATTGTTTTCTCGGTAGCATATCAATAAAGAAAAACTATTTACAAAAAAAAAAGGTGCCACTTGACATAAGAGCAAAAACAAGTCAAAGGTATGCCATACCAAATTTTCAAAAAAAAAGTTTCCATTTGAGGTACGTGCCTGAAACTTTAATTTTGGGATGAGGAATTCAATAAAAGTTTTTCTGTAATATGAATACCTTTTCTCATATGTGTATCTAATTTTGAAAAACTTGTGAAATTTTGCAATTTTAACATGTCAAAAGAGGGACAGTAATGACTGCAAAACTTTTGTTTCATGAAATGAAAGTTCTCTTCACATTTCTGGGTCAAAAGCTGGTGAAGTATTCATGTTTTGTGCAAATAGACCTGGCAGAGCCCATCCCTCACCTCTGCCATATGATTGTTGAGTGGAAATCTCTGCTTTAGCCATTGTCTTCAGTTTAGAACACCCTCTGCCCACTGAAGCTGTCATTACTGTACCATTTGTTTGTGTCAGATATATATTATAATAAAGTAATTCATTGAGTCTAGAAGAAACCTCAACAGAATGCAGAAAGCACTGGACGGCCGTTTCGTCTTGTATTTGGGACTCATCAGCAGTGAGCATCCACTACCAAGAATTGAAACTCGGACAGTTACGTTATCAGACAAACATCATACCAACTGTACCAATGGGCCTCGGTGATGAAGAGGTAGCGAATCACTCGATATAGCGCCACTCGGTCCAGAGCATTAAAAGCCAGTTCAGTCAAGGATATAAAAGTGATAGAAACTATTAGGCAGGCTTGAGATAATTGAGTCTAGATATATATATATATATATATATATATATTATAAAATGCAGATTGTGTGTGTGTCTGTACATTTATATATTGGATCGGACTTCCTACATTTTTCAACCAATTTCAACAAAACATCACAGGACTGCATAAAACTACCTTGCGGTGGTTCTGACAGCGCCAAAAATTGGAAAAACACAATCGTTTTTGCACAAAATCAATTTGAAAACACAATAAAACATCATTCTGTCACCAGAATGAAAGGGGGACAACTCATATCGAGTTATACTTATAAAACCCAGGTTTGTGTGTGTGTGTTCGTTTATATATGGGATCAGATTTCCAACATTTTTTTTTTTTTTTTTTTTTTTTTTCAACCCATTTCAACAAAACTTTACTTTTTTTTCGCATGAGTAGTGTTTCTTATTGTCTTGCACACTTTTTTCTTTATTTTTACATTCAGAATAATTTAAAATTCCATTTACAA